AGATTGGGTTTGGATACACCTTCGAAAGGAAAGGTTTCCTAATCCACCTAATGTCAAACTCTCCCCTAGAGCAGATGGTCCTTTTCAGATAGTGGAGAAAATCAATGATAATGCTTACAAGATCAAACTTCCAGGTGACTATGGAGTCTCTGCTACTTTCAATGTAGCTGATCTATCTCCTTACTATGAGGATCATGAGCATTGAACTCAAACTCGAGGACGAGTTTTCTCCAACCAGGGGAGAATGCACCGGGGGAAAGCACCACGAAAGTGCACTAGGATTGCAAGTCAGCAAATTTTAGACTACACTCTGCAGACTACAAATAGGCCGGTGCAATTCTGTCAAAAGTGGCCACTAAATTCCACAAAGATGGCTAACTCCCAACTGCATTTTCACTTTTCATTTATTGCCTTATGTTAGATTTTGCTTATAAATAGCTATGTTCCCTTCGTTGTATGCATAAGTTTTAATCCAAAAATTTCAGTTTATAATTCTCCTCTGTTGAGTGAGTTTCTTGAGAGTGGATTCTCTCAATTTATCTTTGTATCTTAGGTCTTGCTAACCTAAATGGTGAACCTGGCAGTCGAATTCATCGTAGTGGGATTTTAAATCTCGCCAAAATCGATGTTTCAGTATCGACTCCTATGCCAAAAACCATCATTTTTGACAACTTCCACCTCGGCTTCAACCAAATTGATGTCGGAGTGCCTATTGACAGAAAGAAACTTTAGTTCATAGAAAATTTAAGATTACCCTAATTCTCTAATTCCTAAATGCACTAAAACTCACACTTTTGCTGGAAGCGAGTTCTTCTTTTGCTCCAAATACTCTGCATAGATCTAAGTGTCAACAATAGGCACGAATCCAAGAGGTGCTGATAGCTGCAATTTTACATAGAGTAATAGTGAATGAGAGCTAAGAATGCGAAATCCAATGGTGGAGGAAGCATGGTCTTAATCGGAAGTTAACTGACTAAAAATCAACATTTTTGGCAACAACCAAAAAACAAAAGAATCAAGCCAAACCATGTGGTAAATTGATGCGCATTAGTGATTGGAAGTGGGAAATTGAATTTTGAAAACTAAATTAGAATAAGAATCTAGCTTAGTTTTCAAAAGAACAGGGTGTGTTAGATAATAAAATTAGAAAACTAGTAGAATATGCAAATTGGAGAATTTCTGCCATTAACCTCACTTTCGATAATTCTTTTGAAAATGTTTGCAAGCCTTACATAACCCCCTGCTTGCAAGTACAAAATTTTCGTAAGAAATGAAATAGAGGAAGAAACAAAGGAGAAAAGAAGGATGTGAACGCAAAATCCTAGTTGCAGAATTTGGGAAATAAAAAATGAGGAAGAGATTTAGGAAAGAAATGTGTAGGTCCAATCAAAAAGTCCGTTGTCTATTGGACGCAATCTTTTCATTTTTATTTTTTTTTATCATTTAAGAATGCTTAGTTAGCATATTTAAGTCCATGCAAGCCTATGTATCTTGACACATCAGCAAAGCATGGTTCCTTTAACTGTCTTCATTAGCCATATGTTAGCAGTTCACATCCAATAATGCCTTGGATTGTAAAATTGAGAAGTTTGATTCTTAATTAGGAAAATTAGAAGCTTGACTCCTTGTATGGTAAAATCATAAAAGTTTAACTCCTTATTAACTAGTTTTGCCAAAGTTTTACACATTATATTTATATAAAATTTTGATGAGTTATTTCTTTACTTTTTAATAGTTAAAATTTATCACGACTTTTTAAATAAAAAATAATTATTTTTAATAAATATAAATAAATTTTAATTATTAAAAATAAAGGGATAAATAATTAAAATTTTATATAATTATGATATATAAAATATAAGTGTAAATAAATTACTATTCTTTTAAGAATATATAATGTCAATTAAAATAAATATTGTATGAGATTTATTTTATATATTCTATATATATTTGAGATATTTAAAAAAAGCTTACAACTACAACTACAAGTTGGTGTTGTCAAATTAATTAAAAATAAGAGTATAATATATTAAGATTAAGAGAAATAGATGAGAAAAATA